AAATCTTTTGCATTCCTATATACTAACAATGAACTAGCAGAAACAGAAATTGAGAAAACAATTTCATTTATAATTGCATCAAAAAGAAGAAAACACCTTGGAATATATGTAACCAAGGAAGTGAAAGATCTATACCCTGAAAATGACAAGACACTCTAGAGAGAAATTAAAAAAGACACCAATAAATGGAAATACATGCCATGCTCATGGATAGGAAGAATTAATTTTGTCAAAATAGCCATACTGCCTAAAGCAACCTACAGATTCAGTGCAATCTCCATCAAAATTCCAACAGCATTCTTCAATGAACTAGAACAAATAGTTCTAAAATTCACATAATACCACAAAAGACTCTGAATCACCAAAGCAGTCATGAAAAGAAAGAATAAAGCTGAGGGAATTAAGCTCCCCAACTTCAAGCTCTACTACAAAGCCACAGTAATCAAGACAATTTGGTACTGGCACAAGAACAGACCCATAGACCAATGGAATAGAATAGAGAGTACTGATATAAACCGAAACATGTACGGCTAATTAATGTATGATAAAGGAGCCATGGGTATACAATGGGGAAATGACAGCCTGTTTAACAACTGGTGTTGGCAAAACTGGACAGCTACATGCAAGAGAATGAAACTGGATTATTGTCTAACCCCATACACAAAGGTAAACTTGAAATGGATCAAAGACCTGAATGTAAGTCATGAAACCATAAAACTCTTAGAAAAAAATATAGGCAAAAATCTCTTGAATATAAACACGAGCAACTTTTTCTTGAAAGCATCTCCTTGGGCAAGAGAAACAAAAGCAAAAATGAACAAATGGACTACATCAAACTAAAAAGCTTCTGTACAGCAAAGGATGTCACCAGTAGAACAACAGGCATCCTACAGTATGGGAGAATATATATATACATGACATATCAGACAAGTGGTTAACATCCAAAACATACAAAGAACTCACATGCCCCAACACCCAGAATGCAAATACCCTGATTAAAAAATGAGCATAGGATCTGAACAAGCACTTCTTCAAAGACAAAATTCAGATTGTCAATAGGCACATGACAAGATTGTCCACATCGCTTATCATCAGGGATATGCAAATTAAAATCACAATGAGATATTACCTCACAACAGTTAGGATGGCCAAAATCCAAAAGACAATGAAAAAAAATGCTGGCAAAGATGTGGAGAAAGGGGAACTCTCCTACACTGTTGGTGAGAATGTAAATTTGTTCAACCATTGTGGAAAGCAATATGGAGGTTCCTTAAAAAACTAAAAATAGAAACACTGTTTGATCCAGGAACTATGCTCCTAGGAATTTACCCAAAGAAAACAAGATCCCAGATTCAAAGAGACTTAATGCACCCATATGTTTATTGCAGCACTATTTATAATAGCCAAGATACGGAAGCAAACTAAGTGTCCATCAGCAGATGAATGTATAAAGAAGAGGTGGTACGTATACACAATGGAATATTGTTCAATAATCCTCATAATAAAATTTGTAGGTTTGTTGTTGTTTGCAACAATGTCAATGGAGCTAGATGCTATTATGCTCACTGAAATAAGCCAGAGGGCTAAAGACAAGTACCAAATGATTTCACTCATTTGTGGAGTGTAACAATGAAGTAAAATGAAGAAAGAAAACAACAGCAGACTCACAGACTCCAGGAAGGGTCTAGCTGTTACCAAAGGGAAGGGGAGAGGGAGGGTGGATGGGGAGGGTGGGATAAAGGGAAAAAGGGGCATTATGATTAGCACATATAATGTAGGGAGTTGATGGGGAAGGCAGTATATAGCACAGAAAAGACAAGTAGTGACACTGTAGCATCTTAGTATGCTGATGGGCAGTGATTTCAATGGGGTGTGTGGGGGGGACTTTATAATATCGGTGAACCTAGTAGCCATATTTTTTGGGAGAGTCCTCATGCACAGGCTAGTGCAGGCTTCCTCCAGGTCAGATGACCTCAACCTCAACACATTGGTATTTCAGTCAGTAAAGTTCAATCAGTGCTTTCTTTTAAATGTGGATTCTAAATATTGTTGTTAAATCTATTTAAAAATATTTTATACTCATATATTTTCAGTTTTATTGAGGATAATTTCTCTATTATATTTCTAAGTAATTTTCCATATTTTCTCCTCTGCTTTCCACACAAGCATGTGAGCAAGAGGATGACATTGGAAGCTTTTCAAACTTTGTAGGTTTGTGGTGTTTTCCTCAGTGATTCAGTGAAGTCTGGGAGGAGGGGCAGTGAGGCTGGTTATCCGGGGGTTGTGAGTGACTTATCACGAGTTTCTCACTGCAACGGAATTTCTCTGGCTGACAGTTTGTAAATACTGTTAAGTAGTGAAAGAGCGCATTCTTCTCTTATCTCTGGTTTCAGTGCCTCACTTTAAACACAGCAGTATCTCAGTGTCCTTGTTAAGGATGCGTGCTGTGAAGGGTTAACTCAGCATGTGTATCAGGGGTGTTCAAACTCTGCACATTACAAAGAAACTGGCCCTTCACAACCTTCTGGGAGATCACTTCTGAGCCTGTGGAATATCCTGCCTGATGGGAGAATCTCTCTATGCATGGGGTCTTGACCCGTGCCAGATAATTTATGTTAACAATGTAAATTATGGTGGGGCCTTGTGCCACACCACATACCAGCTTGACCTCCAGAGGGGCTGGAGACTGAGAACTATGGTTAGCCACACAGTCACTCCATGCCTGTGTGCCTGAGCCCTGAAAGGATGGTGGGCACAGGTGCTCAAGTGGGCTTCTCAGGCTGGCAGCACTTCACATATGTTTTCACATGTAGTTACTGGAGAATTAAGCCTTGTTCATGCGACTTCAGTGGGCAAGGACAGCAGAAGCTTCTGCCTGGTCCCTCTTGGACTCCGCCTGTGTGCTTTTTATTGTTTCTGACTTTTATTGGTATCCTTTCACTGTAATGAACCACAATCAGGAGTATAATAACTTTTCTGAGTTCTGTGAGTCCTTCTAGCAAATCATTGAACCTGAGGGTGGTCTTGGGTGCCCATAACTTAGGATGATAAGAGCTTTTTATTTTATAAGACAATTAGAGAAAAGAATAACAATTTCTAATTTGCTAAGAGTTCCTTTTTTAAAAAAGTTTGAATTGGATATTAAATTATGCAAATACATTTTTATCACCTCTAAAGGTATTTTTGTTTTATGTCTGATAAAATGTATTGTTCTAAAATTGATTTTTTTTCATTCTAAAGTCACTTATGCTTGGTTGCACTATATTTTTTAACATACTGTTCTTTTTGATTTATTAATATTTATATTATGAATGGTATTTATCTTTATTTTTGTCATACATGGGTGAAGTATTTTCATTCTATAATTTAAAAATATTTTATAAGAAAACTTTCTAAAGTATGGTACTTCCTGACTCCTTAAACAGAGCACTCTACCTAATTTAACATTTTCTTGACTCAGTACCTCCATTTTGAATGTAAACAGTGTATAATGGACTCTGGTCCCACTGAGACTTTAGAAGCTTCTTCCTCTGTGTTAAATGCTCCCTGGCCTGATTTCTGTTTTGAGTTCTTGGGCTTGCTTTGATTTTCCTACACTTCCAAGTTCCACTTGTAATTCTTAGGTTGCCTTTGTGTAGCAGCTTCTCCCTTCCCTTTACTTAGCTTCTTTATAAAGGCTGTGGGCTTAGAGACTGCATAATATAGTTTGTTACAATGGTTTCCAAAGTAAGAGTAAATAAATAGGCTCTGAATGAGAGCCTGGGGCCCTGTTGTCTTGCTGAAAAAGCATGTGGTTCACATCATGGATTTTTAAATATACATTTTGGATTTGGGGAGATATTTTTACTCCCTGTTTCGTGTTGGCTGTTCCAGAGAGTTAAGTCTTAAAGTTGTTGGTTAGTTGGTTTGTCAGTCCATCCATCCATCCGTCCACCTGACAGTAGTTTATTGAGCATCTGAATGGTGCTGTATACTGGAGAGCTGAGCCGCAATGGGTAAGGCATACTGTATAAACCAGCTTCTACCTAGCAAATAACAAGGGAGCACAGTCTGAACTCTATTGTGGAAACTTGGTAAAGACCTTTTAAACTCTGTTCTCTCTGGTAATAATTTTCATTTCAGATTTTGAAGTTTTAATAGGAAGAATGTTGTACAGAAAAGAGTTAGCAAAGCTGTCCTAAGACTGCTATCCTTGGAAAGGGCTGCTTGCAAGGATGGCCCTTGGCTGGCATCTTAGCACTTGGCTTGTAGACTGCTCCCAGTCCACATGTAACTAACTGATAGGGTAGTTCATGGTGCCCAGACTGTTTGTGCAAACAGCATGGTTTATGCCAAATGCCTGCTTGCCTCCTAGGAGTGTGGAATTTTGATACTTGTTAGGCAGACATTGCCTATGTGACCAGCCTCCAGTAAAAACCTTCATCAGTTGAGTCTCTAATAGGCTTCCGTGGGTAGAAACAAAGCACACCTGTGCCACATTTTTGTTGCTGGGAAAAGCGTGTGCTCTGCCTGACCCCTCATGGCACGCAGAGAGCATAAGGAAACCTCGCCCAGAATTCTCAGTCTGCCCCTGTGTGCCCTTGCAGTGTTGCTATGCTAAATCTTCACCAAGAACACAACTAGATGCGGGTCTCGAGTCCTCTAGCAAGTCTGAATGTGAGGGTGGTCCTGGGGACCCGTGACACAAACACTTAATGTTTATTGGTCTCTTACTATGTGTACAGCTCAGTAAATTGTTTGGCCTGGATTATCTCATGGACTCTTCCTAACCACAGTCCTCTGTGAGGTGGGTTGGTATCATCATGACCACTAGGCAAGGGAAGCTGTTTGAAGTGTCATGAGGTTACATAATTGGTGCCGGTCCTGGAGACCGTATGTTTGTTTCAGTGCTATTTTTTTCTGTATGTTTGCACCTTATGGCATAGTGTTCCTCTTGTTCAGAGAGGAGAGTTTAAGTGAGGAAAACCGCTGAGTATTTTTAAATCACTTGGTCATTTCAGGTATGAGCTCATCCTCACAGAGCCTGACCCAGTACCAGCATATGCTCTGAAGCTTCTAGTTGCAATGACTGAACACAACCCAGCTTTTACCAGGTACTGTACATGTCTTCTTCTCATTGATAAAATGAATTTTATGTGTTCTGACAATGTTGTTAAAGATGATGAGATTTTAAAAGACTAGCATTTGAGTGCCCCATAATTTTTCATGTTTTATGGTTTGTAATATCTGTCATTTATGCTGTTTTGGGGGTCTGCTTATTTTTTTATGTATATTGTGGAATTCATGATGCTTTAAAATTACAAATTCTTTAAAGAGAAAAAACTAACACATATACTTGAAAAAATGCCAGTTAGTGCTACATACTGTACTGAACAGTAGTTGTTTATGTTTATTAGTATTTATAGAATATTACTTTCTACCATTTTATTTAGTTGAAATACTTTTATTAAGTAGTGGAGAGCTTTTGCCGTCATTGAACATACGATCTGGGATGCCAGATTTTTTAGAACTGGTTGCTAGGATAGTGGCAACTGCTTTCAATCTTGCAGAGAAGAGTCTGTCATGAGAGCACCCCCATGCCTACAGAAGGGGTAGAGAAGGGTAGGCCCTCCTTGCTTTCAAACAAGAAAGGTAGTTTTGGTTGTATAGGTAGCGTCTGAGGACCTTTTGGGTTTGGACACCACCTGCAGGTGCAGTGCACCCCCCTGGAGCTGCCAGCCTGTCTTTAGTGGCTACAGGACCCCACAGTCCCAACCCCCGGGATTTCATCTGGGCTGGTCTTCTGCAGAAGGTACTATATGGTGAGGAGCCACTGTTGCTGTTACTAGTAAACAAGAAAGGCTGTTTGTGGAGGGTGTCCACACTGAGAGACCGGCTGAACCAGAACAGCCTTCCTAGTGGGTGTGCCCTGACTGGATCACAGGCTGCAGGGGCACCCCCGGGTCTGCTCATCCTGTGCTACATCCAGCACAGCGCTGGGCCTGATCCTCCTGCCGCCAGCTGCCTCATTCACCCCCAGTGTGACATGTTTTCCCGGGCTCTCTGTGCCCTGTGCCAAAGAGCTGGGGGAGCACTTAACTAAGACCCTTTTCATGCTTGCCAGCACTAAGTCCTGTTTCTGTGGCCTTTTAAAAGTCTGACCCAATGAGTCTTCCAAATTCACTACTCAGAAGGCACCATTATCCCCTCCTACAGAAGAAATTTAATTGTAATGAGTGAATCTGTTTTAGAAGTTGGATACAAATTCAGGTAGTTATTTCTTCCCTGGATTCTTTGATACTGTATACTAATTTCATCCTTTCATTAGATTGACCAGACTGAGTTTCCTTTACTTTTAATGTTGGTTCTTGCTCATTCATGCAATGTTTTCTGGGCTGGTTTCTCTTCTTGCCAACTATTAAATTCATCAGAATTTAAATTTACTTGAGGGGAAAAAAAATCTAGTGAAGTAGATGACCTATAAATAATTTAAAACAAATTACTAGAGACTAAGTTTAGAACTCAGTTTATTCTATTTCTTAAAAAAACTTTACGAACAATTCAATGGACTGCTTTTTATTAACTTTTTTCTTTGTTTTAATTGTATAAGTAATATTTGAATATATTGTCTTTGTATTAAATATGAACAGTAAAATCAAGAGGTCCCCTTGACTTCCTCACTTTCCATTCACACTGCCACACAGGACCCTCCCCTGGGGATAGTAGTTGTTATTTTGGTATGTGTCCGTCCTGAACTTTATCTGGCTATCTTAGTTCAATATGTTTATTGAAATAAATAATTGTGGCTGTTGATTTTTTTTAGAAAGTCATGCATAGTATCACTGTTTATATATTTTTCTGAAATGTGCTTTTTTATTTATAAAAATTACTTGGAGATCTTTTCATATAATTATCTATTCATACCTTGACAATGTCTTTGCCAAACTAGTGGATGAAAATGAGATTTAATTTTGCTACTCATTTAACACTGAACCTCTTAATATTAATTCACTATATAACTGAATTGTACAAAGTATATTGCCTTCAACCTTCAGTTCTACTTCTAAGTATATGTTCTAAAGACGCACTCATATATACACAAAGATTTCCCCCTAGGTGAATAAATTTTTAAATGAGAACATATTTTTAAATTGCGGTGTATCCATAATGTATAATACTATGTAACAGTTTGAAAGGGCATGATAAATTTTGAATACTGGTATATAAAGATTAGCAAATCATTTTGTTAACTGAAATTACTCACTGCCCCCCAGTGCCCATTTTAAATACCACCTTTGCTGTATGTGAGATCTCCTGGATTCACTATGCTGTTCTGTTTGCCTTTTTTCATGAGACAGGCAAACAGTTTTGACTCAGTCCCTGGAGGTCAAAAGCAAAGCATTAAAAGCCATTACCACTCAGCCGCTCTCTCCCACCCCATGCCTTTAAAGGGAGAATCTAGATCCCACCGTCTGTAGCAACCTGTGTACAACTTGTAAAGTCCATTTACACACAGTAAAGGGAGGGATAAGGGAAGGAAAAGTAATAAGAAATTAGGCTTTGGAGTTTGTTTTTATTTATGCAGGTGGATTTTTTTGTATTACGATATCACTGATATACACTCTTATGAAAGTTTCACATGAGCAACATTGTCGTTACTACATTTACCCATATTATAAAGTCCTCCCCACATCCCATTGCAGTCACTGTCCATCAGTGTAGTAGGTGGATTTTTAAAAATACATTTTAAATGCAGCAGTTTGGAATTGGTAATAAATTTCTACTGGAAAAAAATACATAAAAAGATAGATTCTGAGAAGGTCTTATTCCTTCCCCTGCCCACTCTGTTCTCTCCTCACCTTCCCATGTCCATGTGGCTTAACTGCTATCATTTTGTGTCCGGATGCAGGCTGATGCGGATATGTGTTTTCTCCTTTCTCCTTTTACACAAATAGCACATTATGTACATTTTTCTGCCCATGGAATTTTTCACTTAATAGTATGTCCCCAATATTTGTTTCTATAGCAATATAAAGAAAACCTTCACATTTCTTACAGTTACAGAATCTTTGATATGGATGTATCATAATTTATCTAGTGTTTAATGGATAGACTTGAGTTGTTTCTAATCTTGTGATATTGATACTGTATAAGATATGAATAGTCTTATACATACATCATTTTGTATATATGCTTATACTTCTCATAGGATAAATTCCTAGAAATACTATTTATATATCAATGGGTAAATGCATTTGAAAACTGCTTTTTGGTATGGCCAAATTGTCCTACTTGGGGATTTTATCATTTTGCATCTCCAAGGGACATGTTTGAGGATCCCTAAAGCTTTGCCATCAGAATTTGTTGTTAAACTTTGGAATGTTGTCAGTGCAATGAGATATATTATTTCAGTGTAATCTCAATTTGCATTTCTCTTATTATGAGTGAGGTTGAATATCTCTTTATATACTTAAGGGCCACTTCTATTTCTTACTTTGCTCATGCTCTTTGCAATGTTCTTGGTCTTGACAGTGTCACCTTCTCATGAACTGCCTCCTGCCTGGCTTTCCATGGCACAAATAATTTTTACTTTTTAACATGTCTGTGTTGTTCCTATATTTTGCTGTCATATAGCGGTCATGGATATTCCTTTGTGTGCTCCTTGGTGAGTCCACGTATGTGCCTCCTCTGCGTATCCATGTTAGAATCGATACTGGCTCCAAGAGCTTGTGTTTGCCTGGTTCAGTAGATACAGCCAAGCAGTTTTCCAAATTGGCTGTACCAAATTACATTATCCTAGCATTGTTTTAGAGAGTCAGTTGTTATGTAAACTTTTAAAAATAATTTTTTAAAGTTAGGCTTATTGAGGTACAATTTACATAGAGTAAATTTCACTCATTTTAGGTATACAATTCTCTGAGTTTTAAAAAACATGTACAGTTGTACAGCCACAATCACTATGAAGATAAAGAGAACTTCCGTTACTGCAAAATGTTCTCTCATGCCCCTTTGACTAGGAGCTTATAAAAATTCTGTTTGTCTGGAGAATGGTATGACCAAACTTACATTTTATTTTAATTTTTGAAATTCAGTTTTTGAGTTAATATTTAACACATTACACATTTCAGTATTTGAAAGAGTATACAGAGAAAATCTGTTTTCTCCCAGAGAGATAGCTACTTTTTCCAGGTTGTGTGTATGTGTGTGTGTGTGTGTGTGTGTGTTCACACCAATGATAGTATGCTGTCAGCACCATTCTGCACCCCTTTTAAAAAGTAAAAAATATATATATAACAGCTATGAGATATAATTCACATATCATCTGTACTTTTTAAATGCATTTTATGAATATTTGATATTTAAACAAAATATTCCATATTAAGCAATGTTAACTTTTGGTTAACATTTATGCTTTTCTAATCTTTTGGTATTATAAAACAAAGCTACAATGAATGACATAGGCCATTCATCACATGTATTAATATACATAGGTAGGGTAAATAATAAATAGAATTGCTTCATCAAAGGGTACATAAACCAATGATTCCCAGACTATCTGTACTTTGCATCATCTGGGAATCTTTAAAAAGTCTAAAGCCCAGGTCATACCCCAGGCCAATTATATCACAGTCTCTAGGGCTGGACACTGCATTCAGACATTGATGAAGCTCTCTGATTACAGTGTGCTACCAAGTTTGGGAATGCCTGGTCTAAGCATTTATAAGCATTTGTAATTTTGAAAGGTGTTGCTAAATGGCCTCCAATCCACACTGTGCCAGTTTACTGTCCTCCAGCAGGACATATATATGAGAGTGATTTTGTGTTAACCCCTTATCAAATTATTTGTGTCTGATCTTTGCCACTCTGATAGGTGAAAGTTGTCTCTTTGTTATTAATTTCTAGTCCTGTTGCATTGTGCTCAGATCATAGTTCTATTTGTAATTTTTATTACTCGGTTTTATTTATAGTTTAATAGGTGGTCAATTTTTGTGAATGTCCTATGTTTACTTGCTTATGGTAACTAAAACAAAGTTAGGCCTAACCCAGAAAAGTGTCACCCATCCCTAATTTTGGCAAGTGCCTAAAATGGTAACTCATGAGCTTTTGTGATCTT